TATTTAATATTAAATATTAAATTTAATAACATATAAAGTTATAACAGTACAGGAAGGCCTGGCGGGATATGGTTCATGGGGTCACAAAGAGTCGGACACGACTTAACGACTGAACAACAACAAAAGTTATAATAATAGACGTAAAAAGAAAATGTGTTTTATTGATGCTGTTTTTATATAACTTGACATTCGGGATTCCTTTAGGCTTTCTTCTCCAGTGTACTAAATCAGAATCTGTTGGAATAAATATTTTAAAAATAAGACTATGCATCTGTTCTCATGCAAATAGCTGATGAAAATCTTCCACTCATCATTCCATTTAACATGAACATCTAAAAGAAAATATACTAATTTTAAGATACATGATTAACTTCTTAAAAGATTAGTATTGTTCGTATGCTAAACCAGGAGCAGGTTTGTTATGCTGTTCTGTTTTCAGGAATTACTGGTGCATGAAATTGGGGATTAATCCATTGAAGAGATTCTTTGAGATACAGGATGGTAATCAGAAGGTGTAAAGAAAAATCCTTCCACCAAGCCGGGCTTCAGTTGAACTTCTTTCAGCAGCTACAACAACTTCATTCTGCCAAGGCAGAAAACAGCTATTAGTACTGCATACTAGGAAAAAGAACTGTATCCTGAAATTTTGTGACAGGATTACTTTATTGCCAGGAAAATGACAGCCAGAATTTTCAGCTGGCATGGCCTTTGTCTAGGAATTTGGGGAATTATACTTTTAACACATTTGGAGGGCACTATATCAGATTAAGAGACAGTTTGGTGTAGTGGTTAAGGCACCAGGCTAGAAACTGGGAGACCATGAGTTCTAGTCCTGCCTTAGGCACGAATCCAGCTGGGTGACCTTGGGCCAGTCACTCTCTCTCAGCCCTAGGAAGGCAGCAATGGCAAATCGCTTTTGAAAAACCTTGCCGGGAAAACTGCAGGGAGTAGTCCAAGCAGTCGCCAGGAGTCAAAAAGTGACTCAAAGGAACCAAAAGAAAAAAAAATCAGATTCAAAAACTTCCATTAAATGCTAGGTGATCAGAAGAAAGATGTAGCAAGCATGGATTTTTCCTCAACTGCTTTTGGTTTTCTGTGGGTTAAAAACAGTCAATTCAGTAACATCAGTAAATAAATAAATGATTTATGATCTGGGCTTGTTTACCACTGTGAGAAAAACCAGTACTACTTGTTTTAATTACCTTTTCTCCAGTTTTTATTGTAAGAACAGCACTCCCAAATTTTGATTTTTCCTGCAATGAGAATATAACCACCAATGACATACTCTGTAATTAAGATGTTCACTGCTGCTTCTAACCAGTTGCTACAACTAGGAACAGCTGTACTGGAGAACAATACCTATTGAGCAAACAGCTTCAGGTGACTGAATGAATAAAGATACATCTTATAGCACAGGGGTGGATGTCACATAACATTTAATCGATACCAAATGTTGAACTAATTTTAAAAACCATCAGCAAGTGATCAGTTCTCTGGAAAGAAAGATCCTCCAGTCAGCAACCTGCTGCATGGATTGAAAGAAGACATGGCTTGTTTGGGGCTTGGCTGTGCCTATTAGCATCAATCTTCAAAAAGCCACTGTCCTCAGTCAAAATAGAAAACTATGAAAATGGTGCTCTATAGTCAATTGGGAATGTGATTCTAAACATTTTTGTTTAGCCACAAATCAGATTGAAATCAATGGATTCAATAATAGGAACAAGCCACAAATTTACTAAAAGTTGCAGTGATTAAAGGTAATATCCAACTTTAATCAGTATATCTTATGCTAATCATGAACTAATTAAGTACCATTAATTTAGTAAATTTACATTAAACATGGCTCCAACTTTACACATCCATGCTGTTTGACAACCTTTCTCTACTTGTGACAATTTCATGCTTGGGTCTGATTGAGTGAAAAAGGAAGGATTATCTTCCTGGTTCTAATGGATTCTTAGTAAGATGCTAGATTAGAAACAGCAAAATTCCTTATAACTTGAAACTAAATAAATTGGGTGTTCTAATGATCTCAATCAATTGACAATTTAATAGTTAAAGATCCCTTAATGTTCACGTTAAGTTAAAGCAATAATCACAATATTTTAATCCAGTTAGAACATTGGATTACTGTACCTCTGGAGAAATTATGACATACTGTGCCTGGGGAAGGAAAACAGAGAAAAGAATGAAAGGCTACAATTTTTTAAAAAAATGGTACAATAATCAATTGCAAACATTTCTAAAAGATTTCTGAATTGATTGAACATGCCTGATTTCTACTGTGGAAACTCATTTCAGTACAGAAACCTATTCCAGATAATGGATACTATCAATCTGCTGAACAGAAACAATATACAATTATACAGTTTTTGGTACAAATGCATATGTTTTGATCAATTTTTTACTACTTCAATGGGCTTTTGTGTGTGTGTGTGTGTGTGCGTGTATAATCTAAATTAGATATTTAGGTGTTTTGCTTGTGGTTTTTTTTTTAGTTTAGGATTTTTTTTCATCTTTTTTGGAGGGTTATTTTTGTTGATTTTGTTCTGAGTTCTTTTTAGGTAGTTTAATACAGCTTTTTTTCTTCAGCTTCACAACCTACATGTAATAGATTAGGTATATTTTTGAAATGATTTGGTTTTATTATAAAGCAGTAATATGGTTACACTATTACATTGCTTCTTAGTTTTATGTAATATCAGAGTTAACTTTTAAAAGGAGTTTTAATTGTAATGTTTTGGAATTTAATTAAAATTATTTAATTTTTTATTTAAAAAAATATTTTAAAAACTAGTTTTAAGTGTAATCAACAAAACAACTTACCCAGTCTTCAGGACAAGGGGAAGCCCATGATGTGCAGTGGTCTGTCACATGACCTGAGGTGGTCTGGTTTCCACTATATATGTAAACATATCCAGCTTGTTCTCCAAACAATCCATCTATAATTCTTTTGTTTCGAAGAGGTGACGTTACAATAATTTCATCTGTCAACATTCACAGCAAAAGATTCACACCGTAAACATGACCAAAACTTACAGCTGCGTATACAAAATGCCATTTGTACTTTTTAGAACAAAACAGTTGCAATTAAAGAGTTAACTCTGCACAGGCAGAAATTAAATGTTTATTGGACTACTGGAACTTTTCTCACAGTATCCAGAATTTGGATGACTATCATTCTGCATAGTCATCATCAAACAGTTGCAGTTCTAGCGGAAGTACTGCTAGTGATTCCAAGTTCAAGCAACATGAATTGTAACAGCTTATTGAGAAGTTAGTTTTCCTAGAATCTGGGCATTTTAAGGAGTAAAGTCTAACACAGACAATTCCCCCTTGCAAACAATTTTTCTTGGCCCTAGATGCTCACCCAGAGTCCTGCTGAACTGAATGGGTACTTTTTTTAAAAAAAACCTTCATCTAATAGCTAAGCATAATTAGAACAGGGTAGCAACAACAATATCAAGAGTCAAGTTTCTTTTAAAAGCTGTTTTACCACTGATTGTATTGCTTTACGATACATTCACTTCTATAAATTTTTTAAAGCTGTTAAAATTATTATTTCAGAAAGTACTGCTCCTTGGTCCCTTCCCTTTATTTTATAATTTATTTTACCTTATTAGATTTATTATGGCCACCATCTCCAAAAGACACTGGGCAGCTTACAGTATCCAAATATACAATTAAAATAGTTAAAAATATAAAACAAAAAGTGAGAGCCCAGACTAAACCATAATAATAAACAACATGGCAGGGGCTCCATAGAAACACTAACCCCAGGCCTGGGAATAGAGCCAGATCTAAGAACCTTCCAGAAGCGGGCACCATACATACCTCAGGGAAGCTGTTCCAGAGGGCAGGGGCAGTGACAGAAAGCACATTTCCTGCTCCCACAGGATGATAGCATTTGATTGAGGGGCCTGGAGCAACCCACTCTGCCCCCACATATCGAGCAGGCGGAAACAATTGGAGCTAGGCAGCCCCTTAGATAATCCATGAAAGGCTATATTGGTAACAACTAGAACCCTGAATTGCACCCAGGAGCCAACTGGCAACCAATGCAGCTCACATGGCAGCAATGTCACACAAGCATAACAAGCAGAGAGCATTACTGCACATACCACTGCATTTTGAACCAGCTGTAGTTTCAGGATGGTCTTCAAGGGCAGCTCCATGTGCAGCACGCTGCAATAGTCTAGTCATGAGGTGACCAGAATGTGAGTCACCATCTAAATGGCCTCCCAATTGAGAAAAGGGTGCAACTGATGCACAAGATGAACCTGTGCAAAAGCCCTCCTGGTCAGAACTGCCACCAACTCATTCAACAGTAGCTGCAACTCCAGGAGGATCCCCAATTTGCACACCAGTCTCAAATGGAGAAGTACAATCCCATCCAAGACCAAGGGTAAAAATGTCCCCAACTCAGGAGAGCCAAACAGCCACAGACTTGTCAGGATTGAGCCAAAGTCTGTTCCTTCCCATCCAGACCTAAATAGTTTCCAGACACTGGGTTAGAACACTGAGAGCTTTACCTGCGCAGCCCAGGATTGAGATGTAGAGCTGGGTGTCATCAGTATACTGATGATACAAAACCCTGACATGACAGATGACCTCACCCATTGGTTTCATGTAGATGTTAAACAGGAAGGGGAAAGAGCATCAAGCCCTGAGGCACTCTACAAATGGGGAGCCACGGGCATGATCTCTCCCCTCCTGTCAACACTGACTGGAAACAATCACTGAGGAAAGAGGCAAACCACTGCAACTCAGTCCCTCTCACTCCCAATCCCCTCAGTGGGTCCAGAAGGATATCATGGTCAACAGTATCGAAAGCTGCTGAGAGATAAGGAGAGCAACATGGATGCCCAACTCCCATCCTGACTCCACAAAAAGTCAAGTGCAACCAGCAATGTCTCAGTATTATACCCCAGTCTGAAACCTGACTGAAACAGATCCAGGTAATATGTTTCCTCCAAGATCCTCTGTAGTTGCCAACCGACCACCTTCTCCACAACTTTCCCCACAAAGGAAGATTGAAAACTGGGCAATTGTCCAGAATGGAAGGGGTCCAGTGCTGGTTTCTTGAGAAGGGGGCATGCCACCACCTTCTTCATAGCCAGAGGGACCACCCTCTCCCTCAAAGAGAATGATACACCAAATGGACCCATCCCGTGGTCACCTTCTGGGCCTCCTTGACAACCCAGAAGGGGCTAGGATTTAACAAACAGGTGGCCAAGCTGGCAAATTGGAGGACTTTGTCCACTTCCTTGGGAGTTATAGAACTGAACTCAGTCCAGATAACCTCACAAGACTGTACCCCGAGCAACTCACTTGGATCTAGTCAGTCAGAGTCCAGCTATGCGTGAATCTGAGTGACTTTATTTGCCAAATAGCATACATACTCCTCACCACAGTTCTGCAGATGATCTTGTGGCCCAGCCCCCCACCCCCCACGGTGGGTCACTCTAAACAGGGCTACTGGTTGGCTATCAGCAGATGCAATAAGGGCAGAGAAATATCAATGTTTTGCTGCCCTTATCACCAAATATTGACTCTTACTCATGTTCAGATTCACTCTTTAGTCTTTCTCTAACAGCACTCTGAGTGTCACTTCTGGTGCTTCAACTCTGGGAGCTCCCCAAAAAACTAAGGTATACCCTGGGTTCAGTGCACACAGAGAGGTATCATAGAAGCAATCCAGCCCAGAGCCTCAGTCACCCACCCATTTCAGGCTGCAACCAAGGCCTCAGTTGTTGTGATCTTAGGATGCAAGTTTCAAAATAGGGATTTGTCTTTGAAGTTACTGTGCAATCCTTTTGATGCTTCACAATAAAAAAATATAGCAAAAAGGATGATGACTATCACATTTTACCAAGTCCATCGTTGTTCAGATCCTGTAAGTGCACATCTTCCCCAAAGCGTGAAAATCTCCTGTCTCCATTGAATGTGCTGAGTAAGGAAGGCTCGGCATTTCCCATCAAATCATATATCAAAACAGTTCCTGCTTGGTGTAGCACTGTGGATATAAATGAAATCCTGGAGGTGCTGTCTGAAGGAAACCAAGCAAAGTGATAGAATCATGGTACTCTTCCTGGGATAGTTTGTTATAAAAATAGGTGTTAACAAAGCATTGTTGAGTTAAGAATTCAGAATTAAATGCAGGAAACATTGGCTCTACTGAACCTACTTGAAGTAATGGTCAAACAGTTAACCAACAAAGATCTGCTTTTAGAATAACCATGTTCAGAGCTCCCAGTGTTAATGAAAGCTATATTGTCATTTCAACTAGGTGATATTCTTTCAACTAAATGTTGCACTAAATGGCTACGTATCTCCAAGTTTCAAAGATCTCAGCTGAAATGAACTGTGATGGAATGTATCTACAAAGAGGAGGGTGATGGGTGGGTAGTAACAGAGAGCAACACTATCAAGAAGGAGAGGGTGCATTCCAGGAAGGGAAAGGAGACAAAAGACAACACAGTCTGCAAGGGGAACGTGGGAAGCATAAGAAGCTCAGGATAGCCACTCCCTAGAATCTCCCAGGGTATATCCACTAATTGCAGTAGTACAGACTTAGTTTGGCAACATTCTGTCTATATGATGTAAGCAGATAAAGGAATTTAACTCAACTAGACTGTTTCACCATTGTTCTTGGGCTGGGCCTGACATGAACAGAATATTGGAGAAGTAAGATGCAAGTTATGAGTTAGTTGGACCACTGCTCTGATTGTTCAGTCCAGTCCTTTGCCTATAGTAAAACAGGGCACACAGCAAAATGCAAAAGCACTGGTTACAGGGGAAGGAAGGAATGAAATCAGCAATAGGGGATTATAGTCCTAACACAGTGGGAAGCCCTTATATTGAGTATATTACTGCACACGGTCCTATTCACCGTCTGCTATAAATATTTGAAAGTAATTTGGAGTGTCCAGATCTTTGATTTGGAATCCTTTACAGTTTAAAATTGAGATGTTTTCCTTTTCAAATGGTAATGCCACTGTGGCCAAAACTTTTATTTACAGAGAAACTTAAAATGGTTAGACTGAGGAACTGAAAAACACTCCAGAAGAAGACTACTTAATAATACTTCCAACAAAACTGCACAGATGCAGTCATGAGGAGCTGATTCAGCTAGAAGACATGTTTATGTTCCATCAGAAGTAGACAACCCATATTCCCCAGCCTTGTTTTTTGTAGTTTCTGGAGGCACCTGAAATCACATGGCTGAAAATAAAGGCCTACTTCCTGATGTAAAAGATTTTACACCTAAACATCCAAAATGGGTCCCTGAAGAAATATAATTCAATTACTTGTGTAATATTATGTAAAGCTGTACATGGCTAAGGAATCAAATGAACCAAGACACCTAGGAAGCTAACAATAACAAAATATTATAGCCTCAGTTTTTCAGCATAAGAGCAACATACATCACAACTGGTCTGATTCACTGTATATAGTGAATTGATTTTAATGAATTTTCTCTATATATAACTAAATCTGGATTCAGCATCATGATCCTTTGCCTAGTAGAATTACTTGATCATCTGTTGGATGCATTGTTAAAATAAAAATGCTGCCAAGTCTAGCATTGTTCCAGGTTCAGTGTCACATACCTTGTGTTGGTGCACCAACTACCAGTACTTGCTTGGAGATTCCCTCTACAGAAAGGATACCAGTTGCCAAAGCTGAGCCAAATTTCCCATTTTCCTGCAAGTTTATAATATCAGTGTATATACATATATATAGTTAGTTTCATGAAATCAGAACCTTTCTTGTTCTTGTTCTTTTATATTATTTCAAAGGGCATCACAAGACTTACCTCATCCCCATTTAAGGTAAACCAGCTTTTTGTGTTTGGTGGGATATAGCCATATACCCTTCCAACAGCTTGCTTGTTATGTTGGGAGAAAGAGCAGCCTAGGCTAGAGCACAAGATGGTTATGGTCAAAACACCAGAAGGATTACAGTGAACATTGAACAATACCGAAAAAAAATTGCAAGACAGAGAATCATCATCATCATCAAATATCATTGTTTCATTTCAAAACCTCAATTTTTGGACCATGCTGATACTCATCTCAACTTGTCAGGTTAATATGACTAGTGCTCCCCAGATATATGAACTACAATTCCCATTATTCTCCAGATTATTGCTCATTTTCCCATGCTTGAGGTGCCATTTTTAATTATATGCTCCTTCCAAAGGCAGATAAATCTGGGTAGTTTATAAATCTCTGGGAAAGTTTGGTCTGGAACACTAACTGCACCCTTTCCTGGACTGGGAAGTGCTCCTCATAGTCACTCATGCCTTTGTATCTCACATGTGGACGACTGGAATGCGATCTACATGGCTCTGCCCTTGAAGATCACTTGGAAGCTGTAGCTGGTCCAGAATGCAGTGGTGAAGGCAGTTATGGATGTACAGTACCTCACTATTCCCACGTTAACACCTCTATTGCTTGAATTGCACTATTTATCAGTAAGCTTCCAGGTGCAATTCAAGGTGCTGGTTGTGACTTATAAAATATTTCATGGCATGGAGTCTAGCTATGAGGAACTACTTCTCTCCAACTGACAGAGTGGGCATGCTCCAGTTTCCATCTTTAAAACAGTGTCATCTGATGGCACCTAAGAGACATTCCTTCTCTATTGCAGTGCCTGCTCTCTGTTACAGTATTTCCCCTTCCCTGGAGGTTTGAGTAGTCCTGATCCTCCTGTCCTTTAAACAAGCTTTGAAGATCTGATTCTTTCCCCAGGCTCTACTTTAGGAGAATATGTACCTTCTGAGAGGTTTGTATTAATGTGTTGGGTATGTTAGACCCCAGTTGACTACCTTCTTTTGTCTGTTTTATTGTACGGTTTTTAACTTGTACTCCTCCCAGAGTTGTTATAAGCAGGGCAGCTTATAAATTTGACAAACAAACAGATAAAGCACATTCACTTTCAAACAAACGAACAGGCTTGGTCTCTACTTGTAACAAGGAAATGCTCAGGGCCTTGTTCCCAAATGCTCTGCAAATACTTTTAAAATGGTAAACATTTTATTTCAGAAAGAAAATAATTACCAAACGTTAAGAAAAAAGTATTTTAAGACCAGATGTATGGATTATTTATCCAGTACTGAGAACTGCAGGCAACTGATTACATACCTGTCAATATAGGACTATATGGACTTTACAACACAATCAGTTGTAAAAACCCAGTTGGGCCAGACACAGCTTCAGGCTTTATATTGTTTAGTTTTGTTTTAAGCCAAAGGTGCACCATTTTTCTCTTCCAAGGGCTATACTTAGCCTTTGAATGGTATATAGCGGGGAAACATTCCTAAAAGTCATGGGTGGAGCCACAGCAAAATTGACATTGGTTTTATTTACATTTATATTTAAGGGCAATATGATTAATTATTTTCCAGTCATGCATTTAATAATTTTCCCCTTCTGTCGCATTAAAAGTTATAATTTGAGGACAACTTTTGAGGTTTCTAGGAACTGTATCTAAGGCCTCAAATTATACCTGTGATTCAAATGCAGAAAATGAGGTTATACTTGAAAAATAATTATGATTAAAGCACTAGGGTTATTAAAAGAAGACCCAAGAAAAATGTTGCTCTGTTGCATATATTTGCAATGATAAAGTACAGATTGTGAAGGTAGGCTAGAAAACAATCACATATACAGGCACTTAAAAATAAGAGCATACACCTTGTACAATTTCTCCCAAAAGGACTACCAATAAGCAGCAAGGTCTTATTTGGGAGCTGGACACTGCTGAGTGATGACCCAAACCAAGCATAATCTGTTTCTCCTTTTACCATCCAGTCAGCATCTGATACAAAGAGCAGGTCTGACAAATAAAGAAAAAATAGAAGCTGATCAGGTGGTTTTCTTTTTTGGGACACATGACATACTTTATGCAATGGGCAAGAACCTTTGCTTTGTTCAGTCTTACTGTGCAGCGTGGACCATTACTTTATACATGTATGCATATCAGTACCTGTGTCTTTGTATGTGTGTGTCTATCTATATACCCATCTATCTCACTTGAAGGTTCAGTCCACTCCAGATTATGTCCATAATGATATCCAGAGCAGGGTAAATCAGCTCAGTTCAACATGTAATGCTGCTTCACTCCTATATGACAATAAGATTTAGTTAGACAAATAGACTTAGTGCAATTTACTTCTGAATAGACTTGCATAGGCTTTCACATTTTCATTTTGGTTTCAACTTTTGATTACATATACTTAATTTCATATCACAACTAAAGTTGTTGACCTAACTTTATAATACAGTAGCTGACTTCTCATTAAGGTAATTTGTTCTACATATTTCAGGAAATTATCAGTGGATAATATCAGCATTTTTATTTAGCATGGAGCTTGTAACTCAATGCAGCACAACACCTATTTTTCCCAACCACCACCACCACCTTGTTGGGGTTGGGCTAAGAGAGAGCAACTGGCCCAAAGTCATCCACAGCTAAGGGCGAAGCAGAACCTGGGTCTCCCTGCTCCTAATCCAACACCTTAATCACTATACCGCACTGGTTCTCTATTGTCATCCAACATACAATGTCAGTTGATAAATGCATTATTTTATAAAAAATGAATGTCCAATTTAGGAAATGCATTTTTTAAAAAATGACTTTAATCCAGAATCTAAAGAAGTAGTAACATTCTAGGTGGAAGAAATTAAGAAATACATTATTTGTATATATTTCTTTGCAGTGGATGTGGAGATATCCCACCCAAAAAGTTCAGATAAGAAAGAGTAATTTTAAAAAAAACATTGTATGCTGCCTGACTCCCAATGACTATTTGAGACCACCAAAGCCTGGGAAAATCAAACTTGGAACAACCAATAAGAAGCAAATTCCCTCTTAGGTGGGCTTTAAAAGGAAGGCAGGACAGCTCAATTTTATCTTTGATCTGCACTTTTTTCTCACTAAATGCCAGGTGAGACAGGTGAGTACCCAATCCAAGAAAGCTGTGTTGGAGATCTAAGAAAAATATAGCAGTCTGAAGACTAGAGGAAGCTAGATGCAGAATCTGAATTTTGGTTTTTTTTTTATGGAAAGATGCTATCCTGTATAAGTTCTCCTTCTGCCCTTGTTCTGGGCACGTACTGTTCACTGGATAGCCAGTCAACTCTTCACATTAAATGTTCAGTTTGTTCCCTCTCTCTCTCTCCCCCATTGAATTCCTTTATTGAATCAGCCCACACATTCTAAAGGATTTTAGCTTCAGCACACTTCCTCCACATAAGGCTAAACTACTGATGAAAGTTAGAGGTGTTAGAGGTACCTCTTGTGAATCAAATCAGTAAAGAAAGAAGGACTTGCTTTAGAGTAGAGTGGACAGCAGCAATATATGTGGAACAGGCTCTCCATAGGAGGGTTGTGGGTGGAGGTTCTACAGATCTCCTTGGTGGGTACCAGGGGCCCAGTCCACCACTTCCCTCTGCATGTGTGTGCAAATGTGTGCCCATACTACGATGGTGGTGGTGGGAAGGAGAATTTCCCACCAGAATGAATATCCTGGAATTTGAGATAGGAAGAGGAGGTTCTGGGTGGAGGATCTAGAGACCCCCTTGTGAGTACCAGGGCTCAACCCAGCACATCTCTGTGTGTCCATATATAACAAATGCCCCATTACAGCATGTGTGTATGTAAGAGAATGCATCTATTTTGAAGTGGTTCTATACTGGGCATGGTGGCTAAGGTTGGGATGAGCCTTAAGAACTCTTTTCTTAGACTGTACCAAGCGTTTTGTAAAGAAAGTAAATAACATTTGGATGCCCTTCTAGTAATAATGCCCAGTTAGGGTAGGGGACTTAAGAAATAATCTCAATATCTCTTTCTAAGCCTTAAAGATAACTACTTCAGGAAGAAATCCAGTACACTCTGTATGAAAATCTATGGGATGGTATATGAATCTCTTGCATTAATTCATTCTGGATGAGGGTAAATTAATACAATATTAATTAACCAGGTAACATATTTAATATGGTTGAATTAACATTAAATATGTTGCCTAGGAACCATTCCTATGAGTGCTACTTAAAAACCTGGAGAAGGATCTAGATGATTATTCTGATGTTGTTTCAGCAAGAATCTGAAAGTGCCAAAATAAGATACTATAAGAAACACAAACATTTCTCAAAAAAAAAAAATCTTACTTTGCCTGCTTCTGTCAAAGAAAGAATAAAAAGAAGCCACAAATCCTCTTTGTTTTCCACCAGCAGGTGCATATGGAGAAGCAAGCACAAGGTCATTATTTCCATTCCTGTCAACATCAGCTGTCAGCAGGGACCAGCCTAGATTACAATATACTTCCTGCAAATGTCAATATATTGGTTTCCACATAGAAGAACATACAACTCAGTTGCTGAAATACAGCTCCTTTAGTAAAATTTATAGAATATGTAATATCATTGCATACTGAAGCACAACTACCAGAAACATAGTTTACCTTCAATTATCAAAAGAACCCCAAAAGATCTACCATGTATTAGCACTATCTGCTCCTGAATGCTGGATATATGTTAAAAATGTATCCGTTAAAAAAGAGTGTATCCTCCACACATATTTTGATTGTGTTTAAAGAAATGGCACATAAGAATGATGCTTTCATCCCAAGTAAAAACTGTACTGAATAATATCAGGAAAATTAATTTTCAGGATACTTATTGTGACTGAGGAAAAAGAAAACTTGGATTAAATTTGGATTCCAGGCTTAGCCTTTTCATCAGCAAACTTACCTGACAAACTATGGTAATATTTGGAAGGCTGCAGAAACCTCCTCCTTTGTTGCCAAGAAATATGTATACAGAACCCTAAATAACAGAATATAATGTTTTAATAGAAGATATATCCAAACTAAAGCCCTTTGTTTTAAAATATTACACTGGAAGTCCTCTATTCTTTTCATTGTCACATTAAAATGTGTTTCCAGTCATTAGGTGAGTTAAAATATTATACTAAGCCAAAATGCAGCAAACTACATAAAGGGATTGGACTGTAGAACCAAGCCAAACTTTTGCAATCTAGATTAACCTAATCAATTCATCTATGAGATATGGGCCAATATAAAATACATTTAGTCCTCATTTAGCGACCTCAACTGGGACCGGCAACTTAGTCATTAAGTGAAGCAGTCACTAAGTGAAATCGCAACTACTTACAATCTTACTTCAGCTTTCCATTGCTTTACAGACCTGTGAAGGTCATAAATGCAAGGATTGGTCACAAAGTTACTTTTTTATCACAGCTGTAACTGCGAACAGTCATTAAACAAGGCAGTTGCTACACAAGGACTAGACCTATAGAAGACTCCTAAGACTGTCAATAAAGTCTTTCCATCATATTTTTTATTTCAGACAATCAAAAAAGTAAGCCAATATTAAAGGCAGCCTAATTAGCATTATTATTATTAGGCAGCCTTATTATTATTATTATTATTATTATTATTATTATTATTATTATTATTATCATTATTATTATTTCCTATCTTTTTTATATACTGTATATAACTCAAGGCATAAACATACCTAATATTCCTGCCTCCTATTTTCCCCACAACAACAACCCTGTGAGATGAGGTGGGCTAAGCGAGGACGATTGGCCCAAAGTCACCCAGCTGGCTTTCATGCTTAAGGGAGGCCTGGAACTTACAGTCTCCTGCTTTCTAGGCCAGCACCTTAATCACTACACCAAATTAACTATATTTTATATTAGCATTTTACAGTTTCCTACCCCGTAACTAAGCTCCTGGGATCCTACAGATGGGGCTCCTACTGCAAGATCCAATATTCCATCCTCATTGAAATCCAAAATTGCTACTGCAGAACCAAACCTTCCTGAAGGCTAGACAGACAGACAGACAGACAGAGACATATACATTAGATATATACATATAGGCATTTAGGTGCACACACACACATACATTTCTTGAGACCTGAGCTATTTTAAAACGAAGACCCATTCAGAAAATACACAAGTTGGGCACTGCCACCTTTTTAATACTAT